TACTGTTGCACATAGACCCCCTGTAGGATTCTTGGTTTGCACTTACTACCCCTGTAATACTTGTTGCAGATAGGACCATGGGTTAAATGTTTTTGACTCTTTTACCCTTGGTGAAATTTCGGATAGATATTGCTCCTGGATGCAATTATTTTGGTGGAACTATATAGCTATTGCCCCTGGATGAAATTACTGAGTCTATCTGAGGGTAAAGAGTCAAAAAGGATTTAACCTTGGGGATATATCTGCAACAATGAAATTACAGAGGTAGTAAGTCCAAACAACGAGACTACAGGAGCCTATGCGCGATTAACCCAAACTCAAAGGTCCTCAGATGAAATTCTTGCGTTCGCAGCTTTCTTGCCAGGTGAATAATAAAATTGTTTTTTCTGACACCGGCTGGGAAAAAAGGGGAATAAGTAAAAGAAAAGGAGGATCTTTTCAGAACTATTGCTTTAGTTATGTCACACAATGATTTTTGCTTTAATTGTGTCATAAATTGCAAATTATAATTAGATTATCCTATTACTAATATCACAGCTCTAATTGTAGAAACCAGGTCCTCTTGTTCCCTGGAGATTTATAAAATTGGGCAGAGATTAGGAGTTTATAGTTTAATAACTGTATTATTATGTACTAACACATTGCTTTCACTCAATTTGTTATCTGCTTTAATAGGACTGTAACATAATTATGTCAACCTATCCAGAAAAATGCTGACATAAATTCTTTGTATGGCCTGCTTATGTTTTCCTTTGTATTTAGAATGACTAGTATTTAACATGTGTTTTACACGTGATGCATATTAAGTAATGATATGAGGCTAAAACATTTGAAGGTCATCTCACATTGCACGTGCCCACGACTTTTTTTGAGAACAACGAAGAGGACTCAAACAGAGCCCCAAGCCACCCACTCGCCATGAATATATTGACACTTATATTAGTTTTTCTCTTCACGAAATTGCATACTTGTATAATTAATGGATTGATATTTTTTTGTAAATTAGATGTGAAACCGGTTGCAGATCTGTTC